CATCGCGTTGTTTTGTGAAAGTGATCGGGATATATATGCTGAGCCAAAAATCGTGAAGGCATATATTCATGTTTATATTATGGATTGAAATGGGATTTGCTGTTCATCGAGCTCTTGCAGTGCAAATATATGTTTATATATATATATATATATATTGAATTAATAAACACGAGAAATTCGTACAAATTGATTTCAACGGATTAAATGAAATGTAGTGGATTACAAATGTCTATTATTCCTATGATTAATTTCTTCAAGAACGATCTTCAAATGAATTTGAGACTTTTAAAGACGAATCTTCAGTTTAATCTCCGCCGGTCTTGAATTTGGATTTAAATAACGTTTCTTCGAGGGCTTGACAGCTTGATCTCGAATCGAACGTCGTGATTTCCCAAGAATGTGAAGAACGCGAGTTTTTGGTCTTCGCCACAAAGTTGATTTTGATCTTCTCTACGTCGGTCTTGACTTTAATAACGCAATTCGGAGGCTTGGCAGCTTGGTTCCGGATTGAACGTCGGTTTTGAGCTTGAATGCGTTGAATCTTCCTTCGGATCTTCAAGAACGCCTTCGGATCTTCAAGAACACTTGAATCTCGTTGAGAGAATTCTCTAGAGCTCTTGAACTTGGAACTTGAATTATGAATATGAATTGTGATTTTTGACCTTATGGTGAGCCCCTATTTATAGGTGTTAGGAGAGAGAGTCTTGAAAAAGAAGACTTCAATTTGATTGGTCCATGAATATTTATTTCTTTAATAATTATTAAAAGAAATAATTATTTATTTTACTCTCCACGAAAATGACATGTGGCATTCTTTAATTGGCCTTCAAAATATATATGTGGCATTCTTTAATTGGCCAACAATATATATTAAATAATCAATTAATTAATTATTTAATTTAGGAATTAAAATTTGATTAATTTCTCAAATAAAATAGATAATTATTAGATTGACTATGACATGGAATTTGACACTTGTCGCCATTTACTTGGCCTAAAATTTAATTGTCTACAATATGAATAATTTTTTACAATGTTAAAAATTATATCGGAGATGCTCTAAACATGAAAACCTCAAAGTCACGAGAGTTTCAAACTAAATGAAATCAGTGACAACTTCAAATGCATACTACCTCCTATTCTTTTTAAATGTCATTTTGGCTTTATCAACCACTAATCAAATAAATGACGTTTTGGATCTTTTGTACATATTTTTCTATTACTACTCTTATTTAACTAATAAATAACTACGTCTTTTCATATTCACTATCTTTTCACAAAACATTCATCTCTATTTTCATTAAAGAGGGTTATTATATGATAAAAAAAAAATATTTTTAAATAATGTGCAACTTTTCAAGACAACATATATTATGGATATCTTTTCACAAAACATTCATCTCTATTTTCATTAAAGAGAGTTGTTATTTGATAAAAAAATATTTTAAATACTGTGCAATTTTTCAAGACAACATATATTATGAATAGAAGGGAGTACGAAATAATGAAGTTGAAATGTTATAAGTTCATGTTTAGTGAGAAAAAAGAGGACAATCCACATTAAAATAAAGTGGCTATTGTCAGGAAAATGTACATGCTACACTAATCTACATATGCATCTAATGGTTACAAATCCCAACGAAAAATGGTTGGCTACAGCATTTTCCTAAAATTAATATTATTACAGCTAAATGCTAATATTCAAATTTCGTATTATTTTTTATTAGTGATACAAAATTGTGGAGCACTTTCAAAATTTGGCAAAATACCGTAGCGCAGTCAAAGAACTTTTGGCGATTTTATTGTTTTGAGGTGAAACTGCTAGCCTACTACCTGTCCGCCGCCGTTAAAGAGTCAAACGAAGATGGCGGTGCCTGACGGTCGGCTGGAGGAAGATGACGACGGCGCAGCTCTATTCGAGGAAGACGGCGTGGAGCTGACAGACGACGAAGGCGGAGACTCCGAAATCCCCATCCACCTTCGCCCCCTCGTCTCCGCCGCGGAGTCCGGCGACGTAGATACCCTCCGCCTAGCCCTTGGTAACTAATACTGTATTTTGAATGTGGACAAAAAAATTCTTACATACTCTATTGATTTTTTATCTAAAAATGTTAAATCTTAATTGTTATTGATTGGGGATTTTGGCAGGATTAGAGTCATGAGACTGTTAATTGGTTGTATTTAATACTTTTGGATGTCTGGAATAAGATGTGCGCAAACGTAGAGATGGAGCATTAATGTAATTTTAGCTGTAAAATTTGTGAGATGTTGCGTGGTTAAAGTTTATGCTTTTTGTCACTGTAAATTTTAATCCGCATGTTCATTTGCTTTCATCCTCTGTGTGTACCTGAGCTCTGTTTTTGTTGTTTTTTTCCTTTCTATGACTTCATAGGTCGTTTAGCTTTGTGTAGAGAAGCTTTCGGCTTGATCTCACTGCTTATTGTTTTCATTCGATTCTACATTTGATTCTGTTAGTGTGGTCGAGTTCATTTATGTTAAGTTACGTGTTCCATTTGACGGTGAAATGTGGATGTATGTTTTTTATTTTAGTGTACAACTTTTGCAAGACGATGATTCGGAGATTCAGCAGCTAGAAAAGCAATTGCAGTTTAGCCTACCATTTTGTAGTGACTTAAAGTTCTATTTATTTGATTTTATTAGTGAAGTTTCTAGTGCTTCTTCTATTGGTGAAGTTTCTAGAAAAAAAAGAAATATATCAAACGGCGCAATGCACCTTGGGTCGCTACGGAAACAGCCTCCTTGTATAATTACAAGGATAAGGTCTGTGTACAACTGACCCCCCAGACCCCAACCTGTTGGGAATATACTGGGTATGTTGTTGTTGTTGTATCTTGTTGGCAATAACAGCTTTTTTTCTTTTACAATCAAAGCTATAGAATTTTATTAGATTATTAAACTTTTGAAGTATGTATTTGGTTTTTATGTTCAAAGTGGTAAATTTTCTCTGTAATAATACAAGCTAATGTTAAATTCATCTCTGTGGGTTAATTCTTGTTCAAACCTTTGGATAACTGCAGACAATTTTGATGGCAACATTAACGAGCCAGTGGAAGATGGCGACACTGTTCTTCATCTCTCGTGTCTCTATGGCCATTTGGCTAGCGTCCAGGTCAAATTATCTTTTGCCAGAGCTAGACACTAGCCACTTTTATATTCCAGATACTTCGAAAAACTGTACTTGACACGGTATAGATAATTACATAAACACTTCATGTTTTGAGTAATTACAAAAGATAACAGTAAACAGAGTCAAGTGAGTTTCAAAAGTACAAAAAAACGTGGTCAGGTTTGCTTATGCCTTGGATTTATGGGATAACCGTAATATATTTATCTAGATAAGGGTTTTTTAATTTATTATTATCATTATCATTATTATGATGATGATGATGTTGAAGTGGGAAATGTCCGACAGAATTGAATCTCATGGAGCCTTTTCTTTTCTACTCTAGTTTCAAAATCTTTCTGGATCATTTCGTTTTTATGTGAATATCCAGAAGGTCAAGGATGGTTTTCATAACTATCCCTTGTGACTGTGTTGATTGTTTTTCATTTTCAGCTGACCGTTCATGACGTGATTTGGTTTTTGTGAGGTTAAACTTGTAAAATGAATGTGCAGTTCCTGTTAGAAAGGGGAGCAAACATAGAGGCTAAGGATGATGATGGAGGAATTCCTTTGCACGATGCCTGTGCTGGAGGTCCGTTTATTTCGGTTTTATTCTTTTGGGATACCATTCTTTGCTTTGTGGTTCATTAAACTTTTGCTGTGCAGGTTTTACAGAAATAGTCCAACTTCTCATAAACTCCGCAAATAACCCAGAGCTTGTGAGGAGAATGCTCGAAACTGTCGATATGGAAGGGGACACAGTGAGTCTTATGTAGTTACTCACTCATGTGATCATATCTGGATTATTCCAATTTTGTTTTTGCAATTTTTTCTGCGTGTGAAGTGTGAAGATCTTCGTCAAACAAAATTTAGTTATACATAATCTGAAATTTGTAATGTCTTTTTAGCCGCTTCACCATGCTGCTAGAGGCGAATATGCCGATACCGTGAGATTGTTGCTTGCTTACGAGGCTTGTCCAACTAGGACAAACAACTACGGAAAGGTAAGCAGATGTTTGGAATTTCTCTCGTTTTCAACTAAGAACAATAACCAAAAAGTAAACTGAATATTGGGTCGGGTAAATGGGAATCTTATTGGGTGCAGACTCCAGTCGAGCTTGCTGACGCTGGAACTGAAGCCAAGATGATATTGGAAGAGGCTACTAGTGCTGCACTTAGCCATTGACAAATTAAGCCTCTGCAAATCTGACTATGCTTTTGAGTTTGGGAATATCATCAAGTGCGGTTTACTCTTCTATAGGTGGGTAAAACTTGATAGATTGAACAATTAGTATGTGGATTTGGACATTTTACTTAAATTGTATTTTGATGTTACTAGTCCCAAAACACATGATTCATGGTTTTCATCATCTTCGAGCCTTCTGATATTTGGGAAATTGGTTACTTGGCTTCTTTGGCTGCTAAACTAATAATAGATTTAGTACACGAAGCTACTTTAGGGCTAATAATCTTAAAATAATCTCATTTCTCATGCGAGAATCAACAAATCCTCAAATTTCTACACTACCAAATGAAATTCGAACTTTTGACACAAATAAACAAACTCGCACTAACCATAGAAAAAGATAACACGATCCCATATAAAAATGGACAAAGAAAGCAGCCAACAACCTCACACGAGCTAGCAGATCTTAAAACAAGAGCAGCACAAGTGCCACTCATCAAAGCACAACAGAAGCAGAGGGGACAAAAGGGAGGAAAGAGAACTACATACATTTATACACATCTTTACCATATAATGATAAAAAAAAATAAAAATAAAAATAAAAAAAAAAAGATATTGGGTAACGCTTGACAGTCGAGCTATTATCGAAACATTTTACGAGCAACAACCACCATCTTGGGGCGCCTGATACTCCTGTTTCTGTTTTAAGATATTTCTCTTCACATTTGACCCTTCTTCGAGAAGTCTGGGTACCTCCATAATCTGGGGAAAGAAAGAAAGAAGGTAAAAGATAGTTTAAAGGGAAGTTTCTGTTTGGTAAATGAAATGATCGTGGAATATTCTGAGGGAGTTTGTAATTTCGAAAGAGAAATTGGATTAGACAACGCCATAGGATAAGAGTTTTCCAAATCGTTCACAGAAATGATATTGATGCAATTAATCTACCTTTAGTGTTAGCTCTTCAAAACACCGTTCAACATTTTCTCGAGTTTTAGCACTACACTCGAGAAATAGACATCCGAGCTCATTTGCTAGAGCTATCCCTTCTTCCCTACTCACAACTCGTTCAGATTCCTGTAATGGAAGTAGTGTGTTGTGGAAACATACATCGTTTGTTGGAAAGAGCCAGACGAGAATGCAGAACAGAAAATGAAGAACTAACAGAGAACAATTTATGGTAGATAACTGAATAGAATCACCGATGTTCAGTTTGCCAAATTTACGTATACAAAAAACCAGACACGAGCTAAAAAATGTGATTTACATGAAAAGAAAATCAGGATAAACATAATTCAGGGAAATAACCCTGCACTCTTTCCGTAGCCCAAATGAAGCTTACAATTTACTTAATTTCGAGTATCCAATGATTACTTTGTTCCCTTATTTTTTCTGGTGATTTATGAGGCAAGCCCAATGCAAGAGATGAAATGGTACATTATACGACAGAGATGTCATACAAAAGCAGGTTGCAGTTAATTTTTTTTTGCAGGCACAATAATCGAACAAGGTATATGAGAAGCAAGAGGACACGATACTAACTCTATCAACTTTGTTCCCGACAAGCATCTTGACGCAATCTTCATGAGTGGAGTAGAGTTCCAATTCTTTCGCCCACACATCAGATAAGTTCGTAAATGTATCTCTCCTTGTTACATCATAAACTACACATACGACCCAAAAAAAAAAGAAATAAGTAAATAAAGAAATAAATTAAATAACAATACTGTGAGACATCAAATGAAATGTAAGTATCAATCAAAACCACAAATATGATTGCTGGATTGCGTCACTGCAAAAAGATGGACAATGGTTACCATTTCTATTTTCACTTCATTTGTTAGTACTATTCTACAAGAAGATGAACCAGTTGTCCACTATTTCTCCACCAGGTTTCATTGTTCCAATGTTAGTATTAAGGTAATGCTGAAATACCAAAAGGAACCTGAAATGATCAAAACTCTAGTTCTGACAACTTTTGCATACTAAAAAAATACATGATATTTTAGTTCGTTTTGAACCTTGATGGAAACAACAACCCATAATTATGTAGCACGCATTCTCCAACAGATAAAAAACATCAAAATAATACGTTGTGGAAATACTGAAGCAAGTACTTCTACAGTGTGTTCAGTATCTAAAAATGGCACATTTTGGTAATACACATATTCCAGTCAAACAACCATATCATGAAGACTTGTGGATATATATCAACCATGTTAAACACGTCAAACATACGTCGATGATTTTTGTCTTTCCATGCTTACCAAGGATGATCCCTTGTGCACCTCTGTAGTATGAGCTTGTCAATGTCCTGAACCTCTCTTGTCCAGCTGCAAGAAACATGAAAAATATGCTGTTAACAATAACCAACAGAAGAATCATCATCACATATGTGGGTCTGAGAATGATAAAACAAAAATCAATTAAATATACATCTAGTTCTCTTTAGAAGATTGAACCAAAGTCAAGACTGTCAATACCTGTGTCCCAAATTGTTAGCTTCAATTTTTTCTCACCAACAGTGAGAAACTTGATTTTAAAATCCACACCTATAAATTGAATGAGAGAAAATTTCATATCAGATGAATCTTACTGCATTTTAAAAAAAATTGAAGTATACCATGTATTAACATTAAGCAGGCAAAGTACAAGGTCCAAGTATCTTAATAGAACTATTAAGAATGATTCAGGGGATATTAAGATGACTATCTCTATTAAATTTCCTAGGAAAAATATAGCATGAGTATAAATGATCGTGTGGCTTCTGCTTCATTTATTCTACGTACAGGCTTAAATTCCTCACGTCCTACTTGGATAATAAAATGAGTCTCGATATGTACTATATACCCAGCCTCAGAAAATTTAAATTTATTTACTCATTCATTTTTTTGTAATAAGACCAGCCTAAAAATGGTGCTAACTCTAGTCAGAGTTATATTAGAATTTAAGAAAAAAAAGAAGTAAATGATCAAGCAAGTCACATTACTTAATTGAGTCAGAGTGTTGACTACTCATATAACACAATTACTCAACATCCTGCACAAGATACAAGGGCAACCAAACAAGAACATGTGCATAACATAATCACATGATCAAATCATCCACACAAAATGTCGACATCATGAGACACAGAAAATAGCTTCAAAGTCTAACCATCGACAATGAGTAAAGGAACAAATAACCAGAACTCTACTTTAAGCTAAATTTGGTGCACAGAAATTATCCGACACATTAGTACTTGGAACAACAAAATCAAATAATCACGGCCGACCATTGCGGAAAAATCTCATTGCCCATTTGTCTGTATTATTCATCAATATTTATGTGCAGATGAAACATCTTCACTCCATCTATCATATTTTTTCCACTCGAATTCTTCCAGACGTACAGATTCAAGCTCCAACCGTTGCCCACACCACGACAAAGTAATATATGACTATTAAATGCAAAGCACAGAGATGAACCAAATCCAGGATCAAATTCAGTACAAAATTCCACCAAAAATCTAACAATTTACCCAGCATATTTCATAAAGCTACCAACTTCAAGCTTAGCAATCAGATGCCAAATTTCAGAACTCACAGCACATAGAGAGAGAGAGAGAAAGGACTACCTATGGTAGGCGAAAGATCTTCAACGGCGTTAGAAATGAAGCTGACGAGCAAACTGCTCTTACCAACGGCTGAATCTCCGACGAGCAAGATCTTGAACGACAGATCGTAGTTGATCAGCCCCTGACCTGAAGTCGCCATCCAAATACCTCACTTTATCTCTCTAAAAACGAATCTCTCACTCTAGCAACGCTTTGTTTCTACGGCTGCTCGGTGCCCAACCTAATTCAACAGTGAAAATGTGCAATCAATGAGAGAGAGAAGTAGAGAGTGGGTGAAAGATAGCTCAAACGGCACGAAGATAAAAAACTTTAATGGCAATCACCGAGTTTTTAGATCAGACTATATATAGCTACTGTGCACAGCGAAGACGTATGTAGATACAGTCTGCGTGTGTGTATAGAAAGAGAAAGGGGAACGACAAGAGAAAAGCTATTCGTTTCTTGTGCAAAGGACTCAGATGCGATTCCGTTTTTGCGCGAAAGGCAACGGAAACGTGGGTTTTTGTTTTTTCGTTTTCCCTTCTCTTTTTATCTATTGGACGATGAGAGAAAATCAAAATATTGATATTGCAACAAAATCGTCTCGAATTGAAAAATAATCCTTGATTTAATTCTTGAGATTTCACAAATATTAATATCGAGGTAAAAATATTAAGTACTAAATTACAAATTAAATGTATACTATTCTTTGATTTTAGGTTGATTTTAGTTTTAAATTATTTAAATATTTTCGTAATACATAATATCATAACGTAATAGTATATGAATTTCACTTTAGTTTGATATTTGTAAATGATAAAATATATTACCCTTTTTTGCTGTTTTTTTACAATGATATGAAAGAATAGAAATTATTATTTAAAATTATACATACATATATATATATATATATATTATTAAGAGTATACTTTTTTATTACTAAATTTCATAACCAGATTTTTAACGAAATTGTGATTCGGTTGTTTTTATTTTTAAGGCTAACTTGGGAAAAAATAGTAATTATGAATTTTTATATATATGATCCTAAGAATATCAATCAAAAATAGTAATTATGAATTTTCATATATATGATCCTAAGAATATCAATCTTAATAATCTCAATGAACTCATATCGGAATTGAACCGAACTAAACTATAAAGATGGTCCAAATGAACCGTTCCATTTTTCATGAACGAAAATGGAATTTTGATTATCTCCACATTTTGGTTATGTTATGAGATTTCTCCAAACGAAACTAAATCATTTCATTCTCACCCTTACGGTTTAATTCATTCTCACTCTTTCTAATCTCCAAACCAAACCATTTCATTCTCACCCTTACGGTCATGCGGCTCCATTCGTAATATAAGGGAAAGATAGGGGTGGTTTGTCGATTTTTAGAGAGCTATAATTGATTGGGCTCCATGTGGGTCGTTCTTGCTGGGCCTTTTCCAAATGGTAGTTTGCAAAGGGCCCATATTTGCTTATATGTTCAGTTCTGATTTATTCTACAGACTATACTTGAAAGTTGAAAGTGTAGATCCATATTGGCGTTGGTCAGTTGTACTTTTTCATAATGTTTCAAGTAGTTTTATAAAAAGAGAAATGAGAAGGTTGTTTGAGTTGGTAGTAGACAAAATGATTGATTGAATAATTTTATTCCACTTCAAACTATATGAAAATCATCTAGGATGTAAGTAATTATTATCATTATGATAATATAATTGTAACATATTATATACTAGATGTCCGGTTAAACCACCAGTTTAAATAAGTCTGACATAATTTACAGGGGCATTTTTCCTAAATTATCAAATGATTGGTATTCTCATGATGCAGTTGGACATTCGTGCATTGGCTCCATTCATTCTTCACAACTAAAACAAGGTCATATTTTCTATGTTAAACGGAGAAGAATGGAGATATTTGCAAAAAATAAAAAAATAAAAAAAATAATGATAAAGTTGTTAGATATATCTAACTGTTCAATAATTATACTTTTTCAATGGATACATATGCTTTTAACCTGAAATGCCATACTCTAAAAAACGACAAAAACAAAAATAAGACACTTCATAACAAAAGTATGCATTCTTGAAATATGACGAGTCGGCCTGTCTAATGGTTAGACCATCTCACACAAGAATTTATGAAAAAAAAAGACTTTCAGATTTATTCATGTAAAAATTAATTTCATAAAGACATGCATCACGGTGACATGTAATTATCAGGCTTTACAGTTGAGCAGTAAATAGTCCAAATTCTGTTTCATGAAGTCCCAAATGAAGGATTATTCTGCAGAATCAAACTACAGAAAAAATTCATGCAGCTCAATGTTTTGATTGGATTTATGAGGCTCAGTAAGTACATATCAAGGCAGATAAGCAACATTGGGTCATCAATGACATTTCATATTGTCTGGTTCATTAACACGAAAAAATTCATGCAGCTCAATGTTTTGATTGGATTTATGAGGCTCAGTAAGTACATATCAAGGCAGATAAGCAACATTGGGTCATCAATGACATTTCATATTGTCTGGTTCATTAACACGCCGAACAATGGAGCACTAAGGCGAGTACCCTGTTTGGTTCACTATCTAAGATGCACCAAACCCACAAAGTAATATCTAAAAAAAGAATAAGGAAGAGAATCGGGCAAGAAAGTGCAATTTATTAATGACTCTTGGCAACTAAATACGAGTTTGTTACATATATTCCTGTTCTCAAAACAAAGAGATCCTTCAAATACCCCCCCTTTTTTTTCCAAAGTTCATTAAATGCAAGCTGTTGGAAACAAAAACGACTAGGAAAACGTACATCACAGGCTAGCTGACATATCACAAAACGGATGGTATGAATATGATATACCTTACAACTGAAATATTGGATCATGCCCAAATCCCAATTATTAGCTAGAACCTTTCTCGCCTTCATCATCCGTGTCGACTTCATCTACTTCAGGGTCCTCTTTAGATGCAGCATTATCTCGTTTTCCTTCAGTCATAACACGTCCAGTCATTGGGTCAACAGGGCGCGTGTCACGTGGGCCCCCCTTTCGTCCCATGGCAAGCATCGGAGGCGGGGGCAACAAGCCAGCTCGGAACAAAAGGCGCTGGACAGGCTCCGAGGGCTGTGCACCAACCGAGAGCCAATACCTGCAATGTGATTAGACGTATATATAAAAAATAAATAAAAAAAATGAAGTATTTTTGCTAAAACTACCAAATGGTGAAGTCCATGTTGTATATTAGACATGTTATACACGAGAGGAACATATAACTACAATTATTCTTCATATATTCGTTACTGCAGATTGGACGGTTATACAAGAGGAGCATATAACTACAATTGTTCTTCATAGATTTTCTAAAGCGCTAGTTGGCAGTTGTGGGTTTCATTCACAGAACCAGCAGCCTATATGGTGGCTACATGGTACAATGCAGGGTTAATGGAATGGACCCCACTTAAAATCCTGAAAACAATCATAAATATTAATTAGATTCTACTTCCTCCTCTCATCTTTTCCGCCAATCGGTATCTCCATTCTGCTTATTTATTTTCCATCTCTTTAAAAAGAAAAAAAAAAATGACCAATTCACGCAGCTGAAGGGTTCTATTGCTTCTGAGTTAATCTGGTTGACAGGTAGATCATATGCTAGGAATTAACTGAACTGACAGTGTAACTGACAGCCTTGTACTCGAGTTCTGTTAGACTGTTACTACTACACACAATGCAATGTTATGGCTACTTTGTTGGATAACAAATTTAAACCGGTTATGTATTTCTAATCAATTTTCTAATCAAGCTTTTGCCTTGATGAGTTCTCATACGTCACAAATTTTATCGCCTTGGTGCTTCTCTTAAATGTGCTAGGGATATGTATTTGTTATATCCTTAACTGATCTGCATATCAGCAATCAAAGAGACAGGAGCCAGATCATTTCACCATCAAAAGGAGGAGAAATGGAGAATCAGAAAGATGCGGGTCGGTGATGAAGAGAGTAGAGAAAAAAATTGAATAGAACGTTAAGTTTTTTTTAATCATTTAAGAATATACAAGAAAAAATTGGGAGCCCACATCACTTGTCATGTATCATGCCACATAGGCAGCTGGTTTCTTGAAACTAGCAAATGGTTCCTCATCAATTCTGCTGTTCTTCATACAAACTAAGGACAAATATGCAACCCAATTGATCATAATCAGAATGCCACTTATTTACATGACTTAAGTAAACAAGTAGGCCAAAATTCATGAAGATGCTATTAGGCGAAGTAGAATAAAAAAGTTCTCTTTAACTTCATCAAGCAGTGTTCCATAAAGTCACCAAACTGTTTTTCGAATGAAATTCTCCACATGATATGAGCTCTAAGTAATAGATAATCCGACAACCCATCTCAATAAGCTTATTCCGTATGAACAACCGAACAATGGAACCACACACACACACACACACACAAATCAATTTTCCTCGGTGAAAAGTGACCTTCAGAGATCCAGCAAACTGAAAATAATAACAATTTGAATACTTACTTTACTCTGTCAAAATTGATACCCATTCTTTTACCACCATCTTGACCTGCATAAATCAGCAAATAAAAAATAATGAGAGAGAGAAGATTCATTTAGCTCCAAAGAGAACATGAACACTCAATTGAAAAGCTAATCCATTGAAGGTAGGGAGTGCAAATGAAATTGAATCCAAATTCGAGTAGTATAGATGAATCCCAGGTTAATTTGACAAAGATTACGGAATGATAAAGATTATGGGAGGGATTCATAATTTAGGGTTTACCAGGGAGGGGGTTATAGTAGCCCAAGACTTCCAAATGCTTCCCGTCCCTCGGTGACCTGCTATCCGCCGCCATAACTCGGTAGAAAGGCTTGTTCTTGCATCCCAATCTCGACAGCCGCAGACGAACCACCATTCTCTTTCTGTGTAAAATGGATTCAGGCGGATTCAGGCGGACGGCGCCGTGAGGCAACCAGCCAAAAGTTGAGGATGGTTTTGGTGTGGGTTTCTCAAAAAATTTCTGGCAGAAGCCAAATAGTAATAATTAACCGAAAAATGAGAAAAAAATTTTGATATGTTTAGAAAAATGGGTAAGCCGACCATTCTACAGGATTTTTAACATGATACACTAATTTTTATATGTGCATCTAAATAAATATTTAATAGTTAAAAATTTCAATGGAATGGATCCGTAATGAAATTGTAGCATTTTCTATGAAAAATATACCGCAAATCTATATCTATTTTTATATATATAAATATTTAGATAAAGTTGAAATGGTAACTATTTCTCGTCAAAAGAATTTATATTTCTATATATATAACAAGTATTCGACCCTGTTGCACAGATGTAAATAAAGTATTATAAGTTATATATACCATATAATGTTAAAATAGTAAGATAAATGTATTATTTTTTAATTAATTTAATAATTGGTTAAAATGAACACTACATAACTATTTAATTACATGTGAATCTTTTTATTGATTGCATAAACTTTATTAAATAATAAATTTTTTGTAATTTTGAGATATGCAATAATGTAAATAGTTGAAAACTTACCATGTTGGTTTTAGAATAAATAACTTGATCTAAAAGTTTTATAATATAATTTTTTATATTTATGTAACTTTCATATCTCATTTAGTGTAAATATAATTAGTTAGTTTTTACAATAACTACTATATGATAGAATAGAAAATATAATTATTTCTCAATTAGTATAAAATATAATAAATGTTGTCTTAATTAACTTAAAAAGAACAAGAAAGGAAATATTTTAGTATTAATTGGATAGTGTTGATTAATGGTAAAATAATAATAATGATAGTAAAAAAAATAATAACATATGATTGTAACAGAAAAAGGCGGGAAACGAAAATAGTTTTATTAAATACTATGCTAGTAATTAGATGTATACTAGTAAATATCCTGTGCACATGCACAGATGTATATAAAATATTATAAGTCCGATTTGAGAATTTAATATTAAATTTTAGATAATGAACATATTACATTTTTAAAATCTAATTATTAGAAAAAATAAATTAATAATTATTTATTATTATGAACAATTGTTTATTATCATTAGATAATAGCAGTTTGATTATTATTATTATTGTTATTGTTATTATTATTATTAATATTATTATTATTATTATTTATAAGATACTAAAGTTGTTTGACTATGCTATTAAAACAATTTACTAATTGTTTTTAAAGAAATTTTTTCATGAGATATAAAAGAAAAATATAATGTTGATGTTAAAATAAATAACTTGAAACAATTGTTTATAATTATGCAATTTATATTTATTGTGAATTATTATTAATTGGTATTAGCATTAATTATTATATAATATAATAGAAAAATACATGATTACACTCAATAGGATGTATTAATGTGAGAAGTAAAAAATATTAATTATAAATTTTGTAACCGAAATTGGAGGAAAAATTTTAGAGGTTTTCTTAAATACTATTAGCTAGTAATTATATATATATAGATAGATAAGAATTACTATTTACCAAAAATAGTAATCTAAAAATTTAGAAAAATATTTATTGCATACTATTTTAAGATATTTTTTTTTAAAAAAAAAAACAAAAAGAATTGAATGAGCATTTAAAACATTCTAATATTTTGGGTATAGGAATACCCTGTAGTTCCTAAAATGTTGGGTATGCAACACGTAAAAGCAGATATTTTTTATTTTTTAAATATCTATTAATATATAAAGAGGTAACTTAAATAATTCAAAAATAGTAACTAAAAAATCTCTAAATTTCCGCCTAAATATATTACTAAATATAGTAATTTATTTTGAAATTTTTCAAAAATTCCGGCCAAACATATTTGAATTTTTTTATTTTTTTTTGTAACAAATTTAAATCTAAACATTTTAAAAAAAGATTAATCTTTATCTTAACTTCCTAACCTTTAGCTAACTTCCATCTAAAGTTGGGTTTTAGGTGGGACTAGGTCACTAGCTGTGTGCCATTACATATCACCGTGGTCAACGAAAACTTTTTAATTTACAGTACATTATATCAAGTTTAATTAGATATACAATAAAGTGGAATTAATTTTGAAAAAAAAAAATAAATTGATTGAATTTGGTTTGGGTAGAATTTATAGTTTGTATTAAAATAATATTTAAAATATAATTATTAAAGTTGATGTAATATAAAAGTAAGAGATAAGTGATTAAAGTGAATAAATTTGGGTGGAGGAATAGTGAATTAGAATTAATGTCGTGAGAATAATTGATTGATATCATTTAATTATACTGCTAATATTGATAATAGTTTGGTTAAATTAAATTTAAGTTAAAGTTTGAGTTAAAAAAATTATATGATCAGTAATAATTGAATATTTTATATCCAATCAGCCCCTCCATGTCTTACAGTTATACGAGAACTTTGAATAAAGAAAAAAAAACTTTTTTCAAATCTATACTTATATAATAAGGTGTACCATTTACGAAATTTAGTAAGTTGAAAAGTCAATGCAATAAATGCATTACTATTTTGAGCAACATAATATAATATCATATCTATACTTATATAAAATGAGATTCTATTTACTACATTTACTATCTAGAAAAGTCAACTGCATTAAATGCTATTATTATTTTGATATTATAATATTTTATTTATTTAATTGATTTATTTATTTATTTTATTTTAAAAAGGTAAGTATAATAAAAACATTTTAATAATAAAAAAATCAAATACCAAATAAAAATGTACACTTTGACTTATTTGATTTTATTTGGTATTTGATTATACCAAATATATTCCTATTTAGTATATACATTAAATACTTACTAAAGTTTTTATTTGTTTTATTTGTCAAAGTTAAGTATAGATTTGTTTATATTATCAAATCATAAAAAAATATTAAATCCATATTGTAAAAAAAAATAAAAATCATATAATTTTATAACAATTCTACTACACTATTTAACAATATTTCTTTTTTATTATATAATAAAATAATAATTAAATATTATATGGTGAACAACAATAAGTAAAATTGTTACTTTCTCTTATATCAAGGGATAAATTTATATGCTAAAATTAAATTTTTATTAGTATAAATGTTTTAGTGAGATAATATATTAATTATTTTACAAGCTAGCCCTAACATGCTCATATTTAATGTTTTAAAAGATGTAGAAAAAAACTTATAATAACTCTATTGTTTTTTAGACTTAAACGTTGATTAAAAGAGGTAAAAATTCCTAATTTTTTAGACTTAGACATTGATTAACAACATAGATTGAGAGTCTATATTTAGTAAAATTCCTAATTGTAATAAAAAAATTAATTTTTGCTATATTTTAGAATATCTTTAAATTCATTATAAAAAAAAGAAAAAAAACTACAATGAAAAAAGCAAGTCAGCTATATATCGATTTGTTGTACTCCTCAAATCACATTCACAATTTGCCTACAAGGAAAGGAAACTCATTGATTAAAATATTATTTTGTCAGTAGTCTTAATGTACAAGAGACTTTAAGACTCCTCTTCAATATTATAAAACTTTTATTGAACATTGTACAATTTTCTTGCGTATTATAAACTTTTATTGAATATTGCTATCTTATAATATAATATTCTCCAAATAAATATATCTCATGCTCCGCACGGATCACGTATTATATATATCTCGTACATTTTTCTTTATTCATGTATATAATTATAAGTCTGGATAAATAGCCTTAAAATTGTGCACCTCGTGCATCGCACGGGCTCTGTACTAGTTATACGTATAAACAATAGTATTAATCTATTAATATATAAAGCGTCAATGATATTTACTTGAAATAGCAATTAAAAATCATTAAAAAAAATATTTGGTTTCTCGCCTAAAAAATCAGATTTACTAAATGGTGTAATTTTTTTGGCTTTTTAAAAAATTCCGCCTAAATTAATGTAATTAATGTACAGAATTATTGTGGTCAAATATTGTGGCTATTACCTTAATTAGTTGCATGATTTAAATGTAGAATATAATATATTGAAAAAACTTGCAATTATTACCTTTATTAGTTGCATGGTTTAAATTTGGTATATAATATATTAAAAAAAATAAAAATAAAAATTATAAAAAATTAACAATAAAAAAAAAGAAATATTCATAACTTACGGGTCAATATTAACTTTTCAATTATTTATAGTTTAATAAATTACTCAATAACTTACAGGTCAATATAAACTTGGACGTAAACGAAATAGTCAATTATTTATAGTTTAATAAAATACTCAACTACTTAATTTTTTTTATTTGAATAGTTTATACAAAAATAAATTATTTTAAGTAATGAAACAATATACATTTTATATTTATACTTTTTATTCACATACGTTGTTAAATATATGATAAAATTTTAGCAAAATAACTATTTTATGAAATCACATTATAGTCAAATCGAATTTCTGAAAAAAAAAAATTGAAATGATACTTCTTTTGAAAGGAACATATTGTAATTTATTATCAGTTATGTTCACCGCACGGGTTGTGTACTAATGTTAAGTAGATATTTTTATGTAATTTTGTACAATTTAAACTTTATATAACATTTTTAATAAATTAATATAGGTAAATTGTATTAAATATTGATTCCATATTTTTTATTTATAAATATTATTTAATAAAAATTTTTAATTTATAAATATTAATAAATATCTCTTAACCGTGCACTGCACGGGACTCATACTAGTAAAATATAACAACACGTAAAACATTTGTAGATATTTTTTTTTAAATAGAATCTAATCAACTACAAAATTGGATTTCGTTTAAATCTCCTTGCTATAACTTTTTTGAATTGTTCTTTATTTATTTATTTATTTATTTATTTATTTTACACTTTTAAATTAACAAATCTCTCCAAAAATGCCAAATCAAATGATTTATGAAAGTTTTTTTTTTTATAATTTTAAATCTATATACCCAGCTTACAAAAACTCATCACATAAATATCGACGAGTTTAAAAAATCTCATAACCCAACTTACAAAATCCTTGCACAAAACTCAACGAGTTTAAAAAATCTCATCCCTTATTTATTATTGCTATAAATCCATTA